GTCTCTTGCTTCTTTAGCAAGTGAGAATAAGTAGTAAAAATGGTGGAGCTTTTATGGGGAATATAACTAAAAATACAAACTCCACAAATAAAACATACCATAAACTCATAGCTGTCAAACAAAGAAGCAAACAAAACAATACGTAAGACAAAAAAATTACTGTAAAAGATTCAAAACAAATCATGCAAAACCAAAAATACACCCTATCCTTCCCCAGGATGACACAAATACAGAGCTTCTCTCCTGTTCCTTGAATTTAAGACTGTGCATTCTGTGAAACCATCCTGGCAACTAATGCACAGCTGTGTAGTTTGCAGTGCATAGGTGGGCTATACAAAAATACAGTTAAGGTTGACAAGGAGCTCATCATACACTGTATTTAGTTTGGATAGTTTTTCTTGAATAGTACTGATATATTCTTGTGGGATGTTCCTGGGATCCAATGTTCATAAAGACTATCAAAGTGAAGCAGAAGCAGAGTTTAAAAAAAACAAAAACGAAAGCATTCCCCTTTAGTATTAGTCTGCAGGTTCTTTCCCCTCTACGAAACAGCTCAGACCGTGTTGCTCCTTGTGCAAACTCATCTATGTCCCATGGTTCAGGTGCTTGTTTTATGTTAGATACTTTAGACTGTGTCTGAGGGTTTCTCTTATAAACAGTGTAGTTAATAACTTTGCCCTAAAACACACAGAAAAAAGGCTAAACCACAATAGGTGCACATCTTTCATTCAACATTTTAAGTAATTAAAAGGATTTTAAAAACTTGAACGTGTCTTACAGTCAGTTATGGTTGACAAGGACCTTTATAATAGCTTGAAACTGCTTGTTCAGCTATTATCGCTGTGGGAAAGAATTTATAAAACAGAAACAAGTCTTGTAGTGGACAACAGTCTAAGTCATAAAAAGGTCATCATGCAGTATTCTATCATTAAAAACTTATACTGACTACTAAGTACAATTTTTCCATTGACAGGTATGGATGGCAAAGGAAGTTTACAAAAATGGACAACAGTTCCAGACAGTGGATGCTCTTTGTGCGTCTGTCTTCACCACTTGGAGAAGTTTTTCCCACTTACCTCATGGAAATGCTTGCATCAAGCATGCCAAAATGAATTTTTGAAGTGATTAACAATAACGGTGGAGCTAGTCATTACTGAGTTCATGTTTGGAACTTTGAATTCTGTTTTGGGGGGTTTATGGGTTGTTTTTGGAGTGTGGTCCTAAACTTTTGATCAGCTGTAATACAGCCTGTTTCAGTTTAAGCATTGTTTTCAATAAATTGCATGCTCAAAAAAAATGTTTTGTCTGACTCCAATTTCTTGGTGCTGCATGTCGAAGCTTTACTTGGAACTTTGTTAGGATCCAGCCATGCAAAATATGACTTTTTGCCATTTTTCAAGTGGTCTTAAACTTTTGATTGGGATTGTATAATCTCTGCCACTGGTTAGAGAAGCTGGAAGTGGAAGACTCCCATGTGGTGCTTCGACCTAGGGAAAAACCAGCAAAGTGTAAATGCACTCTCCCAGAGATCCTGTCGTACTTCATGTCCCTGCCTGGTTCCAGATCCACTTCAGCAGCAGCTGGTCCCACCATAAAGGCATGCAGTACAACCTAGTGGACTGCCATACCATTGTAAGGGGTATTGATGGTAGGACCCTCCACCCTCTAGTGTGTACGGTGGGGTCTGAGAAAACAGAACTCAGGGACCTGCAATCTGAAATCTACTGACATCCAGTGGTGACCATTTTAAACACTGTAACGTTATCTGTAATAGCTGCATTAGTTATCTCACTGATTTAGGTTCAGTGGGTCATCTTTCTAATAAGTCTGACTTTAATTACTAAATTGAATGCTGTAAAATTGGTTATTAATGATAGCTTTGATTGGCAGTTCCTGTCATGGAGAGTGATGGGGGCGGCCTGATCCAGGTATGCCACAGGTCGTCTAACAGAGCTCCTGAGCCATCGTAGGTGGATGCAGTGCCTAGCCTTGGTGGATCAATTCTGGATCCACTACATTTGAAATTAACTACCTTCACTCCACACATGGCACAAATGGCAACAGGAAAGGGATGAGTTGTTAGTGGTTTGCGTCCGTGAGACTAAACCACACGGCATACAGTATTTTACAGTAAATCCCTCACTCACATTATGGATGTGTAACTTGGATTCTTGTTCAATAAATGAGTGAACGACAGATACCTGAGTGGCAGTGGATTTTGTGGATAAGTCATCTGTTCTTATTAGACAACCCTGTTGAGATTGTGGATGCATAAAGTCAGCACCTTATCATCTTCATCATTCATAGTTCAGGAGGTCAAGTCTGTCTCTCTTAAAGTGACATCCTCCATTACAAAGAGACCTGTGTATATCTGTTTAACAACTGTGCAGAGTAGAATTCCTGGGATCAGTCAGCATTTAATTTTCATAGTCATGGCTGTTTAAAAGTAAATGTGTGTCTATTTTATATTTATATTATTGTTTTTGTTTTTAAATGTAATTATTTTATCCTTTGTTTAAAAGGGCCCTGATTACAAAGCAGTATGAATTAATTCTGAGTTATGGTAAATGGTAAATGGCCTGTATTTGTATAGCGCTTTTTACTAGTCCCGCCTAGGGACCCCAAAGCTCTTTACACGTCCAGTCATCCACCCATTCACTCTCACATTCACACACTGGTGGAGGCAAGCTACAGTTGTAGCCACAGCTGCCCTGGGGCAGACTGACAGAAGCGAGGCTGCCATATCGCGCCATCGGCCCTTCTGGCCAACACCAGTAGGCGGTAGGTGAAGTGTCTTGCCCAAGGACACAACGACCGAGACTGTCCGAGCTGGGGCTCGAACCGGCAACCTTCCGATTACAAGGCGAACTCCCAACTCTTGAACCACGATCGCCCCGAGTTATGGTTAAGAAAAATTCAGTGTGCAGTGCTTATGCAGCTGCCAAACATAAGTACCTCCATGCATTTTTCTCTGTCTTCCTGCAAGTTATAATGATGCAGCACCAGAATTGAACCAGGACCGGAAAACTGCCCAATCATCTCATCTTTGCAGCTCTTCATTTTTAAAAAACACAACTAAATTCAAAGTTTATACTAGATAATAGCTTACTATATAAAGCTGTGTCTTTTTTTTAAACAACAAGTTCACATGTTAGCTCTCAGCACAACTGTGGATAGAAAAAAAACATAGAAAACTCAGGACAGGAAGTCAGGACAGGGAAGGATCAAATTTATTTAAGTTTTGAGGGACATTTGATAGTTTTTGATGATGATTTTCTCTATGTGATTACATGAGCTTCCCCCAGATTCAGACCTCAGCACCAACCAGTGATAGACAAAAATCATTCTATATGTGAACTCTTGGATGAATACACTTAATTGTTGTAATGATAGAGTAAATTTGTGTTTACTCCTAAATTAACAGATGAAAAAGGCAAAACTATATTATATGCTGTCAGTGAAAGTTGTAGCTGTTTTACTGAAAATATTAAAGACAAAACATGAAAACTGAATATATTAATGTAACTGCTATCACTATATATATTCTTATCTTTACTCAGTTTCATCCTACTCTTTTCATTCTGAAGCATCAACAATAAATGAGTTTGGTGTTTAAGAAAACTCCGACATGCTTAGACCTGTATGTATTTTGAATGCAAACACTGAATATAGTGTGGGGAGGTGGGGGACTTTTACAGAAAGGGAAGCAAACATACACAGACAAAAACATCTTCCACTATTTATCAATTTGAGATTGACAGTATCGGATAAAAACAAAACAAAACATTTGTGCTGCTTTGCATCTTTCTGCAAAATCTTTAAAATTATTTCTATAGTTAAATAAATACTACTAAATTTTTGGTAATTTAGTAAATATTTTCAAGATAAACATCCATATGGACTGACACACATTCATGTTCCTCAGTCCATTGTTTCAAAATGGCAACTCTACTCTTGGATTTCCATCGAGGATGGCATTCTGTCTTTTTCAGCACTCATGCATGTGCCTAACTAATAGAGAACATAATCAGAGTTGATTGAACAAACTGTGATTAGCCTCTCTGAAAACGGAGTTAATTGTTAAAGTCAAAGTCTGTTTAACATAATTTTAGTAATTTAGTACATATTTTTAATGTAGACTTTTTCCATTTATACACATATTTATACACACACACACAAAAGCGGAACATTAATCAATATTGGACACAAAATCACAGGAAGTCATCTCCAAAAAATACCATTAATGGTATTAATTCCGTCTGAGTAAGTGGAAAGGGTCACAGTAGTGTCAATGTTCAGTGTTGCAGTGACCCGACCTTTCTAGCTGTTTCCATCTTGTTTAAGCCCCGACACATCCAGAAGACTATGGACTGTGGATTGTCCTTTTAGCCCTGGTATGAGTGGGGGAGGGAAGTTAATAGTTTTATTGGTAGTCCTGGGGCTTTCTGTCACACTTGATCATTATACAAAAAGAAGTGCCAGTTTTGGAATCAATATCCCCATTTTATCCATTGAAACATAATACTAATAACCAAGATACATGTTGAAATCTAGGCCAAGAAATACATAACACCATATTTAAGGCTAGAAATGCCTAAGAACAGTATCTATCTATCTATCTATCTATCTATCTATCTATCTATCTATCTATCTATCTATCTATCTATCTATCTATCTATCTATCTATCTATCTATCTCACAAATTTATCATGTTATTATTTGTGCAGACCTGATGCTTGAGATGAGTAGGATACAACAGCTTTATCCCCTTAGGTGGATCATGTGGCTGCTTTCTCTGCATAAAAAAAGGAAAAAGCCAACACACCCTTTTGGACCAGCATAATGAATGGGGAGTGGTGCTAGAGGGTGTGGCTACAGCAGTTTGCCTGTCTCTGATTTGCTGACATATGCTCTAATTGGATCAAGTAGGAACTTGCTTAGGTTGATGCTTTGTACAGGGATTGGGAGCAGCCTGCATTGCACACTACCAGACAGGAAGAGAGGCAGTGAGGGAGGAGGCCAGAGTCTGCACAGCTCACCACTTGAAAATAAAGGATTGAGAGAGGAGGGGTGAGAGAAGAAAAGGGGAGTATCCAGTTCTGCCCTTCTGTGCTGCTGCAGCCCCCCTCCCACTCTGTGTAATTTCCTTTTTTCCTCTTTCCCCTTACTCATCTGTTTCAGTGGCTGCACTGAGAGGAAGGACACCTGCCGCTCCCTGATGATTCAGCTTTTCAGCTGTTTGGAGCTCCCAAGACTAGACAGCATGTCCCTCCTGCCACTGCAGTGCTTGGCTGGCCTGTCCTCTGCACTACATTTGCCTCAGCTAGAGCTGGCCCATCACGTCGATACTACCTTTTCTTCCCAAGTATTCAGGTGAGTGAGTACAACTGTTTCACTGCTGCTCACTAGTAGACCGCACATTTTAAAAAATCTTTTCCGTATTTTTTGTTTCTGCCTGCAGGAAATTTGACAGTTGTTTTCCTTGTGAAAAAAAGGCATGAATAAGGAATTCCTTTTTCTAATGCATAGACTGTCTACGTATCCCCTGGATTGTTAGCAAGGTTCCACTCTTTGAAGGGCATCACCTTTCTCTGAAACCCAGCTCTCACTCTGTGTCTACACAATGGAAAAGATACTAAAAGACATTGGTGGAAAAATGTCATTGTGTGATGATCTGAGTTAATAGCTAAGGTGGTAAGAAACACTTCTTCAAGCAGTGTGAAAGGATGACCGAGGGAATGGAGGAAGTCTCTGCAGGGCCAGCTCCCCCTTTTGGATCAGTCTCCCCCACTGGCTCTACTGTTGATACTAGGCAAGTCCCAGAAGAGAAACCAGAGGAGACAGAGGCAGCTGGTGAGAGTGGGGAGGAGGCTATAGAGGGAACTGCAGAAGGAGGTGGTGCTGGTGACGATGGGGAGCATGTGGGGGCTTTTGGAATTGTGACCTTGCCAGAGGCCTGCTGTGTGTGCATAGAGATGGAACAGATTAACAATTGCCTGCACTCTGAGAAAATCTGCATCCTCCCCATACTGGCCTGTTTGCTTAGCTTAGCCCTCTGCACAGCTGGACTCAAATGGGTCTTTGTGGATAAGATATTTGAGTATGAACCACCATCACATTTAGATCCTAAGTCTTTTGGACAAGACCCAATTATTATACCAGTTGAACCCACATTGGGAATAACAGTCTCGTTTCCTCATGCAACTCCTTCAAATAACTCCCTAACCACCACCTTCACCCTTACCCCAGAGCATCCTGAAGTTTCAGTAGAAGATAAATCTACACAACAGCCGCATGTGTCTCAGTCTTCACGAGTGATTGAGCCTGCTGTCACACTGAAATATAACGCTGAACACTATACCACCCCAAAGCAGACTCCCCAACGAAAGTCAACACAGAAATCACACAGCCATCATCAAACTATCTGTAAGTACCCAATACTTGTTTATATAAAAATCTGTAAGTGGGTTTTGCTTTAAGTTACTTACATATTTTATGAGCCTAAATTAGATATAGGTTGCAATGGCTAGACATTACATGCTAACACAAAATTATGATTTTCATCATTGCAAAAGGTAAAACAGGTTGAGATAATAAGATTCAAATAACTTTTTTTCTCTTGTGTCATTCATTTTGTAGTGTTCTTTTTTCTGTACAAGAATTTTCTGTACCTGAAAACAGATATGTTGTGACTTGCACACGGTGCCATGAGTAAGCCCCTGAACTATTTCTACACAAACTGTGTAAGTGTGTACCTTGAACCTTCAGTTTAAATCTACTTTACCCATACACTAATTGTGCGATTTCTGTGAGTCATCCTCTTTTACCCACTTTAGAGTATAAGTGGCCCTTTATATTATAATGAAATGACTTAAGTAATTAAGGTCAATCAGTGTTTTTTTTTTTAATGTTTTTCCTGTTTGCAAAAAAACGTGAGAAATGTGAAAGATCTCTGAAGTGTGTGGATGCACATTTCGAGATATACTGAAAAGTGCAAATCAATAAATGATGCATGACATAAACTGAAAACCCAGGCTGTGGCACAGACAGACTTCCTGTTTTCTGCCTGTGCTACATTTCAAGGTCAGAGCCTTCTTGAAGCTAACTGATGTCCCCACCATCCCTGAGGCACAGGGGAAAATACACCAATCCATTTATACTCTCTTTCTGCCTGGGCCTCCCAACTAGGCTGTTTTGTTTGTAGTCACATCACTATGTGTTGTATTGTGGTGAGGTAGTGGTGGTAGGTCAGGGGTTGGTTTGTAGACAGTGCTTCACTTAAGAATGCTTGAATACCAGCACTGACAGAAGGTTAATGTTTAAAAATTACCTCTGTTAATTTTCTTTCTGAGTGTCCCAAGTGAGATTCTTATGCTGAAATGTATAAATGTCTTGTTTTGGCCTGTAGAATGTTATCTGATTTCTGGCAAAGCTGGTGTCTCTCGGTGATAGCACTGTTGCTCCTCCCCTATCACTCATCTCAAAGTTGCAGCCCTGCTGTAAAGTTAGGAAGCAAGTGTAGCTTTATTCCAAAGACTGTCTGTACTTTCTAAACATTTCACTTTGAAGTTTGACATTATGAGATGCATTGTAACTGTCCTACGCTACCCTTTTCTATGTTTTTTTTTATTTTTATTTTTAAAAACACCTCTTCTCCAGTATTTTAAAATTGATAACAGTTCATCCATCCATTTCTTAACCAGTTATCCAGGTAAGGATCATGAAGAGTCCAGACCCTTTCTTAGATGTCACAGGATGACCTGCACACCTAGGACATGTTGCCAGTCTATTGCAGAGTCAAAATGGAGACAAACAAACATTCATACAACTATGGTTAATTTAGAATCACTCACCTTGCTCTAAGAGCTCTGTAACACCAACATTTCTCATCAGTGGGATAATAAAGGTTTATTGTATTCTATTCTATTCTATTCTATTCTAACCTTACCTGCATATCTTTGGATTGTGAGAGGAAGCCAGAGTACCTGGAGAGGCATAGGAAGAACATGTAGACTCCACACATGTAGGCCATTGAGTTTGAACCCAGTATTTAATTGCTGTGTGGCAACAGTGCAACACACTACAGCACTGTGTTGCAGTCCTAAAAAATCTTGGATATATGTATTTAACCAGATGCTTAATCTGTATGGTTTTACCTTGGACTACTCTAAAACTGTGAAGAATCTTCTAGAGTCTGGAGTCAGTTTTGACCAGGATATGGCTTTCAATGACTGCTTTCTTACATTTGTGCAATACCTCTAAAGATAGAAACATCCTGTCTCAGATCAATGCTGAAAAAGTAGTTCATGCATTTTTCACTTCTAGGCTGGACTATTTTAATTCATTAACAGGTTGTCCTTAAAAATCCTTCTTTCCCTCTAGTTCTGATGGGAACTAGAAGGAAAGATCATTTACCCACCCCATCCCCTCATGGCTTCTTATATGTTTTAGTTATACAGCACCAAAACATAACAACAGTTGTCTCAGAGTGCTTTATACTGTAAATTGAAAACCCTTCAATAATCAAGAGAAAACCCCAATGAGAAAGTGCTTGGAAAAATGTAGGAAAAATGGAGGGAGAGGCAGCCATCAGCTGTGATAGAAAAGGAAGAGCGCAGAGGAAGACAGGCAAAAGAAAGACATTGGAAGAGAGCCAGATTTTAATGTTAACTAATGATTAAATGCAACGTATTGTAGAAATACATAAAAATTTAAAAGAGGTGAGTGAAGAAGAAACACACAGTACATCATGCTTCCAGCAGCCGAGGCCTAGTAGAATCAAGATAATATCAAAGAGGATAAAAACCTATAGCAGGGGAGTTTATAACCTTTAAAAAGCTGATGAGTTACATTTCTAAGATACTGATGTTGTGGAATCATGACCACGACCTTTTAGGATGACTTATATTGTCAAACAACATTTTTGACAATTCTCTTCACGCATGATAGGTGGAATGGCTCTCGGCAAATGATTGCTGATTTTAATCCACTAATAGCTTTTACACACCATTGCTACAATTAATTTCATTAGCACAGCTTAAAGCATATTGCAATGAAATGTAATCCATCCTTTCACAATGGCTGTGGATAAAAGTCTAAAAATATTTTGGGAGCTTTTGATATTTTAATGGCAAGCTACTGCTAATAATTATGTGAATAACTGCATGTAAAATGTGTTCAACATTTTTT